ATTTGGCCTCCTGGTAATGCCAGAACGCAAAATAATTAATGTTGTCTTACAGACGATATTAAATTTGGAGTTGATGGATGAGACTTTAAAGCGGCGTAATAACGCTGCCTTTCCTGCAAAGACTCGACTTCTGACCTTCTGCCTGGAGTCAGCGAGGTCAGCGCGTATTGGCCTGGTTAGTTTACGCTCTTCTTCAAACATCCGTTACAAATTACTGCGCGTGTGTGCGCATGGATGTGTATGTCTGTCGATGCTTGCATGAATGGGTGTAACTCTGCTGTCAGCACTGTCTTATCATAAATTACTGTCAGAGATAAACAATGGAAGTTTGGAGAAGGTTTCAAATGGGGCATCAGGAAATGCAGGCTGCCTGGTCCCGTAAAGACGAGTCTAAACAAACTCGTATTTATATTTATTTAATAAATCGATCATATGTAGTTTGATGCGTTTAAATCAAAGTGGCATGATGGCTAACAAGAAGAAATGAAAAACATGTTTTGTTTCGACATTCAAAGCTTAGTCATACTGACAGTCATGAACAGTGTTGGTCAAGTTACTTGAAAAAAGTAATCAGTAACTAATTACTGATTACTTCCCCAAAAAAGTAATCCCGTTACTTTACTGATTACTTATTTTCAAAAGTAATTAATTACTTAGTTACTTAGTTACTTCAGTTTCACGATTTACAACCTGAATAGGTTATAAAGTGATAGATCTTTCAGCCCAATTCTACTTTTTCTACATAATCCATCATACAAAATGTAATCAAATGGAAAAGTCTCTTTTTAAAACTTGTTTTATCAGTTTTAACCTTTTAACTTTATGCATCAAGCAAAGATTTAATTATCTGCAACATTCTCTGACTTGAATAAATTAGTTTAACATGTAAACCTATTTTCTGCACATTCCAGCACATAAAATAAAATATTTTGTGTGTTTACACTCAGTCTTTCAAATAGATGCAAGTAAAACACAGCAGAAAATAAATAAAGTCAAAGACTCAGCGGTCCTGTTGCTCTATTTTCACCTGTAAAGCAGGAGTGGGGTAGGCGGAGGTTTACCCTGGTGCAGGTGTGCCGCGGTCAGTGGAAGAATCCGCGAGTTTCTCTGTGAGTTTCCCATTACGTCGTAGCTACTCGGTGCTTGCTCGGAAGTTTAGGGGTTTTTTTCGCTTTAAAAAGAAGTTTTCTTCCCACGCATAGCGGACACTAATGTTTTTGTCCCTTTTTATGGAATCAAACTCAAAGTAAGGTCAGTACTTCCACGCTTTAAACGCTGCACGCTCATACTCTCTCTGCACTCGATATATGATCCATTGTTGATCTGCACACAGCTGTTGTCACGAACGTCGCACTCGCTTACGTCACTGTCATGAGACACTCTGGCAAAAAAAATCACGGTTTTAGTAACGCAGCGTTCCTACGGGAAAGTAACGGTAATCTAATTACCGTTTTTGCAATAGTAATCCCTTACTTTACTCGTTACTTGAAAAAAGTAATCAAATTACAGTAACGCGTTACTGCCCATCTCTGGTCATGAATATTCTATTTAGGTCTGTAAGCATGCATTTTTTCATCGACACTAAAATCTAAGTGCAGCTGAGTAAAACCTTTGACCACAACAGCAACAGAGGTCTAAGAAATGTTTGCATTACTTCAGTTAGCTGTGGTTCAGTGAATCAGATGATGATGTGAACATGAGCGCATCACCCGTGAAACAGCTGCAAACATGACTGATCTTAAACGTGTTTAGTCTCCAGTAACGCACGTGTAAATAAATACGTAATAATTATTCACTTAATGATCCGTGTATATTTGGTTTTAAGTAAACGCTTGGTGGACTCGTGCTTTTGCGTCAGCTGCATAACCTCCAAACACATATGACAGTTTATTAGTACACCCTTAGTCACCACAGCACACTGCTCTTTATCTGCACATCAACATGAAGGTCCTGATCCTGTGGGGGTCAGCAAAGCAAGCTTTGTTCAATGTCACGTCTTAATGAAGCAAAGCGTGCACTCAGAAAAGCAGGATTAGGGGTTTAGTGAGATAACGTCAGGTTTAGCCTCGGGTTATGAAGGGTTACTCCTCGCTCAGCTCACCATGATAACTTGTGCTCTAATCTTTCTGAAGACCAGGCATGCAAAACGATATACTGACCAGAAAATCTCTGGAAAATAGTTTAACTAGTCCCAGAAAATCTCGAGGACCTGGAAGGATAAACAGCGAAAGGCCTTTACGAGACCATATGAAGTTTCTCTTGTTCCCTGACAAACATCAGTAGCACTTTTAAAAAAGCTACAAGGCTTAAAATATGAATATAATCCTTAAACAGGGAACCTAAAAATTTATCCTGCATTGAGCGTTTAACGTCTTTGGACTATCTTCATACTGTAGGTTGTAAAATTAGCAGTTTCACTCACTCACTCACTCTTAGCTTGATGTGAAACATATTGAGCTGATTTGCAAGACTGTCAATATTTCCATAAGTGAAGTCATCGACAACAAAGACATCCTGTTAGCATTGAGCTTATTTCATCGTGCAGACTCCAGGTCTGTGTTTATTGGTCCTCTGCTTTGAGGCAAAGACAGGAGAGTCATCAGATAACATAGCTAACCCTAACCCTTCCAGCCTTTAAAGGGTGGCACATGTGCAGTGTGCTACATATTTCATGCAAAGTGCATGAATTTTGAACAGGTAAATGACAAAATTACATGCAAAATGATGCATTTTGTAAATATGACTTACAGAGCCTCTCATCACAGCTTAAACCAAAGACTTTTATACTGAAGACAAGACGTATGAGCACAAAACTAAAAGCCAGCGCCTGATAAAAATCTGCTGCTGTTAGCTGGGTCTGCTTACCTCACACTCCATGCTGGCAGTGGGCTCTCTTTTTAAACTACTGTGAGCAGTTGTCGTGTCTCTTCGTGTTTATTCTTGTGCACATCTCTGCTACATGTTGGCTTATTCGTATGAACTCTCTGTTGTAACTTTGTTTTTGGCTGTTTTGCGTTCTTTTTGTTGTCTTTTGTAGCTGTCTGTTCCGCCCTCATCGGTTTCACCTGCACCCAATCAGCTCGTCCGTCGTCCTGTTTACCCTCCAGCTCTCTGTGTGTCCCTCATATTTACCTTCCTGGATTCCCGTTTCATTTGTACCAGATTTTTGTTCTTTCCAGGACTTTTTGTAAGTTTTGTTTTTTTAATCAGCCTAGTATTAAAGCTTACTGTGTCTGCATGTGGGTCCTCACTTTATTATCTCATAACAAATGCAGCTACTGAAAGACATGAAACGCACCATCTGTCGCTCTGCTTCACCTAACAGGTACCGACCTTTGTGTTGGTTTATCTTTAATAAACGGGAACAGTAAGGGGAAAATGCACAGACAGAAGACAAAAAGAGAAACACAATGGTGTTTTTCTCTTATTTGCTTTTGCGGTAATTTAACAGTTTAGTAGTTGCTGCAGGAAGGAGAAGAGAAAAAATCTGTTAATAAGATTCAAAAACTGGGACAAAGGAATCAGGGCATGCCGGTCAGACGGTTCAGGCGTGACTTTGCGATGAATACCCCGAGAAACCAAACCGTTTAACATTACGCATCTGTGTTTGTGCGTCTGGGGACAACAATCCACTTCAGCATCTCGTAAAATGACCATCAGCTGGAGTCACTGTCTGAATGACCGCTGTGTCTGTGATCGTGACTGACCACAGCGAGCTGTTCGCTGACTGGCCTTTGGTTGCTTTTGTCTCACTCACACACACACACACACCCAGCAGATGAGAAGTGTGTTTTCCAAAGGTTATATAGTGAGCTTTTAACCCTGTAATCAGAACACGTCTTTTTGTCTAAATATTCTAGTCTGACATCATACAAAAGCACCCTCTCAATCAATGACTCTCTCTCTTCTGTCATATTTCAGTCCAATAAATACAAACTGATCACTCTGTGTGTGTGTGTGTGTGTGTGTGTGTGTGTGTGTGTGTGTGTGTGTGTGTGTGTGTGTGTGTGTGTGTGTGTGTGTGTGGAGAATGATGCAAGCAGTGCTCGATGTAAAAATGCACACACACAGACACACAGCGGTTTAATGAGAAAAAGGTGCAAGCAGCACAATGGCGTTCAATGCTGCCAGACCACTGGTCCGTATCTCATACTCTCCCCTCCCCCAGCGTCTCCCCTCTTTTAGTTCCACATCTGTTTCCCAAACTTTGGAAGGGGCCTTGAAGAGCACAATATCTGGGTCAGAGTAAACTGCTTCTTTGTGCATATGCATGTGTGCAAGTGTGCAATAAGGAGTGCACCACACACAAAACGTTGTCACACACCCTTTGAACCTGAACATGTGGAGAGTCTCAGGTGTGTGTGTGTGTGTGTGTGTGCAGGTTAACAGTTATTCTAAAATGGCTTGGATAAAAAGCAAAGATGTCATCGGCATCCTGTACAAATCTTAGAGAAAGGGGGGTTAAAAGCGGGAAGAAAGTTTAACTTCCGGTAGACAGCCTGCATAACTCACTGTGTGCATAGTTTTCCATTTTTCTCCATTTTATTCTTATAGAAGAATAAAGAATAAGTGTTTCGAGCACTTCTCCTTTGAACTGAAAGCTAAATCCAGATTTGGGACGTCTTAAATTTAACCTGATAACTTAATCCTCATTCTCCACGATCACAGTTTGAGCAGCAAATCATGAGGATTCATCCTTTTCTCACTTCTGTGAAGCGATAACTTTAAGGAGTGAGCAGAGTCTCAGTGTGGGATGGTCAGCACTGTCACGTCACATCAACACGGTTTCCAGTTCAGACCTCCTGGTTGGTCTGACAGCAGTTTGTAAGTCTGAAGCCATGTTTATTAGGTTAACTGGTGATTGTGGCGATTATGGTTAAAGTGTGTGTGTCTCTTCCACAATGTGTATATATGCTGCCACCTTATGGACAAAACTACTATTACAGTAAAAAAAAGATTGAACCCGTAATGAGTGAATATATTTTAATGGTCACAACGTGGACGGGAAACAACCCAATATGACAGAAAATAAACAGTTTACTCCTACAAGTGTTAACAAACGAGTGTTAAAGAGGATTTTTAAATACATTTAAATGGTTTATGTGTAAAATACTGTACATATAGAGATAAATAATATAGTTTCAAAGGTTATTTTAGTTTTTACTGAATAATTTTTATTATCTTTGAAAAATATGGATTTAGTTAAAAATGATGTGACGATGTAGACATAAAAAATAAATATTAAAAATAGTATTTACTTTTGTATTTTACAAATTGTATAAGCCAAACAACACAAGCACAAGTTAACAGACTGAGCTGGGACAAAAAGGGGTTTTCGGTTAGAATTAAACTTCAGGATTTAAATTAAAACTGAAATGTGGTCAAATGTGTTAAAACAGCATGAGTCCACTTTCTTTAAAGGACTCCTTCGGTCTTTGGCACATTTTCTCAGCCTTCTTTCTTGGGATATTTTTCCTTGGCCAGTCTGACAAAGTCCTCAGCGCTGTCCAGCAACACCAGGTGGTCCTGAGAGAAACATCAAGAAACACAAAAGTAGTTAAAGACTGTTTAGTAGACAGATGTAGTTGGAGGAAGAGGCACAACAACAAAACAGTAGAGATATGAGAGAAGAGGTGAAAGAAGAGTGAAGAACGGGGAGGGTAGAAAGTGAGAGGAACTGTAGTTTATAAACAGGAGCTTCTTTGTAAGAATCTCTGAACATAACAGCAAAAATGCAGCCTAACAAGATTAACCTTATCAAGACAACATTCTACTGTGAAGCATCCTTTCTTTCTATTCTTGATCAAGGAGTTAAAAGCAGACGGTTTGAGTATCTAAGAGCGAGAGTGGAATTGTCATGGTGGGCTGTGTGGCAGGCAGGCAAGCAGGAAAAGGACCCGAAATGCAGGACTCTGGGAGACAGGACTTGAACTCAAAACACAGCTTTAATGCTAGAAAAACATCCCATAAAAATAACTCTAACAGAAACAAAACAAAGTAGGAACACGACAATCACACAGCTTGGAGAGAGCACAACACGACAAAGCGCACAGGAAAACACAGGGCTTATATACACAGGGGAGTAATCAGGGAATGGGCAACAGAAGGGAGACACAGCTGAGAGAAATTAGGCTAACGAGACAGGTTCTGTTCATAATTTTTATGGACAGGATTTCTAGGCGCAGCCAAGTGGCGGAGGGCTTTCGCTTTGGTGGCCTCAGAATCTCATCTCTGATTTTTGCAGATGATGTGTTTCTGTTGGCTTCATCGGGTGAGGGCCTCCAGCTCGCACTGGAACGGTTCGCAGCCGAGTGTGAAGCAGCGGGAATGAGGATCAGCACCTCCAAATCTGAGGCCATGGTTCTCAGCCAGAAAAGGGTGGAGTGGCCACTCCGGGTCGGGGATGAGTTCCTGCCACAAGTGGAGGAGTTCAAGTATCTCGGGGTCTTGTTCGCAAGTGATGGGAGAAGGGAGCTGGAGATCGACAGACGGATTGGGGCTGGAGCTGCAGTAATGCGGACGCTGCACCGGTCCGTCGTGGTGAAGAGGGAGCTGAGTGTAAAAGCGAAGCTCTCAATTTACCGGTCGATCTACGTCCCTACCCTCACCTATGGCCACGAGCTGTGGGTAGTGACCGAAAGAACGAGATCGCGGATACAAGCGGCAGAAATGAGCTTCCTCCGAAGGGTGGCTGGCCTCTCCCTTAGAGATAGGGTGAGAAGTTCGGCCATCCGGGAGGGGCTCAGAGTAGAGCAGCTGCTGCTCCACATCGAAAGGAGCCAGCTGAGGTGGTTCGGGCATCTGACAAGGATGCCCCCTGGGCGCCTCCTGGGTGAGGTGTTCCAGGCATGTCCCACCGGGAGGAGGCCCCGGGGCAGACCCAGGACACGCTGGAGAGATTATATCTCTCGGCTGGCCTGGGAACGCCTTGGTATTCCCCCGGATAAGCTGGAGGAGGTGGCTGGGGAGAGGGAGGTCTGGGCCTCTTTGCTTAGGCTGCTGCCCCCGCGACCCGGCCTCGGACAAAGCGGATGAAGATGGATGGATGGATGGATGGATGGAGGCAGGGGGGAAGTAAAACTGAACACACTGACATGAGACATGAACTTTCAAAGTAAAACAGGAAACCAGAAACAATTCACAAAAACACAAACTTGACACTGAGTGGTGGACAGAAAGAATATAACACATAAAACAGAGAAGAAGAATAACCCTTATTACAAAATCAAACCAGCACAACTTAAAAACCCGAACAAATCATAGTTAAGAAAAACACCAAAACAGAAACAGGAAAAGCTGGGTCGAAAATGACCCAGAACCGTGACAGGAATAAAGCAAAAGTTCATTTCCCAGCTGCCAACCCACACTTGGCTTTGAAAAAGCAATAAAAGGGCCTTAAAATCAGTTCTGCATTTGACAGGAAGCCAGTGAAATGTTTACTGCAGCAGCTGCAAACAACACAGTGTGAACTGAGCAATATTCTGGAGTTGAGAAAAGTGATGGACTTCAATTTAACAATGTTCAGAAAAAAGCTGAAAAAAGTAGCAGAATTGAATCTTGAATCAGTGTCACTCCACGATTCCCTAAATGAGCATCAAGGTTGGATGATACTGATCTTAAATGGCTACATTATGGTTCTCAGAGGACCAGACAGGATCCTCTGTCTTATAATCCTGCAACTGAAGAAAGAGGATGGACCCATTACCAGCAGTCACTGAAATTCAAAAGCAGATATATTTATATTTAGAGAAGTGTGGAGATGTGTACAGCAAATAGGGTCTCGAGGGGGTTTATACCAGTAAATGAAAACAGGCCCTAAATGGAGCCTTGAGGTACTCCACGGGTGAAGAAGACAAGCTAACTAGGTCTAAATTCCAGCCATATGAAACTTACAGAAGAGCAAACTCTGTGTTATGACAATCAATGAAGCCTGAAAATCCATACACCCATTTTCTGGGTACGCCGTGAACAGGTTTACAGTCCATTTTTACACGAATGGGAGCTTAGATCCATTCACCAGACTTTTTGTTTTTAAAACAGGTAAAAGATACTGCAGTGTCCAATATTTCCTTTGAAAAAGTAGGAATAATGTCCAGGGACCCGTGGTTGACAATGTTATGGATGCGTGTTTGCGTGTACCATGATACAGAGGTATCGGTTCTGGTGTCCTGTTCCAGGAGGGAACAGAGAGGTGTGGTCCAGCAGCTGCGTCAACAGTTCAGTCGCTTTGTTAAGATGTTCTTCATCTCGACTGAATCGGCGCTGTTTGTTCACACACAGCAAGGCGTCCACCTCACACTGGTAACCTGCAGGGATCCAAAGAGATGAGCAGCGGGAAGAACGGGGAATTACACAGGCAGCAGAAAAGAGCGGAAACAACCGAGAACTCACCGAGCTGAAGCAGGATTTTCTTCCACCGAGCTCTGACCTCTCGTTTGGCATAGCGCAAGGTGTGTATGTCATAATTCAACTTCTCCCATTCCTGTAGACAAACACAAACACTTCCTAATTAAAATATACTAATGATGATGCAACTTACAACTGAGGGAAATTATATTTCTGCAGTGTATTCAATTTAAAAAAGCACAAATGTCAGCCTCATGAATCAGCAGAAAGTTATTTACCAATCCACCCACACCTTCCACTTAAGAGCCGTCAGTTGTCCTCAGGCTTTATGAATCGCACATGTACGAATAACAAAATGAATGATGGCTGAATCCTGTTTAGTATTTTCATGACCACAGAGCCATTTTTACTTTTTGTTTCGTCAGACGTTTACTTATTATTCTTTAGTGACCCAATGTCCTCGTTGAAAGGTATATTTTATTTTATGGGTTTAATATTTAGCAGTTTGCTTTTTGGACGTGTTATTAGGAGCTTCTTGTGTTAAAGGGTTGTCTGTGTAAATTCTTTAAAATCGTGTGTGATTTTTAACCTGCAGGTAAGTGTGTTTAATGTTGGAGTTGCTATCAGAGGACTGGAAACTGTAGAATCATTGTGGTATTTAGTTTGCTTCAAACACACCAGCCCACCTAGTCTGATCAAAACGGGGGTCCCAGGTCTTGGACACAGTATAGAGTGGTGGGGTGCTACACCCTCACAGTTCATTCATCTCTTGTTCCTGTTTTACTTTGGAGGTTAGTTATGTCTTATTTCAATCCCCCCTCTGTCTCTTTGTCTTGATTGTCTTCACCTGTTCCTCATTATCTAGTGTGCCGATCCCAAATTTGTAGATTGGGCGGGACTATTTATACACATGTGTATAAATAGTCCCGCCTTCTTGTTGCAACATCGTCTGTGCTCTATCAGTGTAAGTTTCTGCCTTATGGGACTTTTGCTGCTGTATGTTGGATTACGTGGTTTTTTTCTTTGTGATAAGCAGTAGGTGACTGAGTTAAAGAAATAAAAAGGGTTTAGCTATTAAAGTTGACTTTTATTAACTCTGTCTCCCATGTTTTGCACTTTGGCTCCTCACACGATCCACACAGCCACTGTGTTTGTCTGGGAGTTAAAATATTGTTAAAAGTCCACTCTTAAAAATTGAAAGTTGTCTTTAAATTATACAGAAAAAACAGATTTTAACTGTAAAGTATAAAAAACACAAAGTTGACAGAGTGGTATGTCCTACTTCATCTTCTAGATAACCCCCCACCCCTTCGGCCCCCACCACTGTGAGGGCTCTTTAATGTTTCAGGCCTGCTGAGTTTTTTGTTTTTGTCCTAATATTAAAAGCAGTCCCGCAGCATGCTGAGAATTGTGCAGTGAATATTCTCTTTGACCGGCCTGCCAAGCTAATGACCTACATCTCCATCAAGGAGTTCATTTATTTACACAATGTGCCCACTGTGTCCTGCAGCCTGACGTGTGCACTAAACTCAAATGCTCACTGAGCTGCGGTCCTGAAATTCTGAGAAAACAGCCTCTGTCCTGATGTGTTCCCTCTGCGCAGAAATGAAGCACGACTCAAAAGTTGAGAAAAAACAAACCAATAAACTTTTTGCTTGCTAATGTCACCAAAAAACCCTGAGAAAATAAGGATTCAAAATCAAAAGTCGAGACGTGCTGGGGTTTGTACATCCACCACCTCCAAACACAAGCACACTGACAATGATGGAGTCTAACTAACGAATAAACAGCAGTGATAGGCGCTGGGTGACTGAGTAAGGAGCACGTGGTCTGTGTGTCGTTTGTGTGTCGGTGCTCAATCACTAATTGACCCGTGGTCACATTTGCTGAATAGCTGTTTTTAGACAGCTGCATTCTTTCTCATTTTCTGAGTGAGAGCAACAGATTTTCCTCTGGCCTCGCACTAATCTAACCTAACCAAGGCTTTTATGCATATTCATAATTATTATGGCTTGTTTGTCACTGAAACACTATCTGTGGCACTATTTCATATTATTGATTGACATAAATCAGGCTTCTATGAAAGTCACCTGTGTGTCTGCCCTTTTTAGATTATTACATTAGAGATCCAGTGGAGAGCAGATGGGAATTTTCTGACAGCATCCAGTCACGAGGAACTCCAGTTTGGCCGGTAAATGTTGAGTTTTGTTTGTGTTTTTTGAAAGATTCCTTAAATTCTTAATTTAAGCTGCATTCACTGGAATTTAGACATACCTCGACGTCTTTTAAACTGCTGGAGAATACACACTAATATTAATAAAAAATACCCTATTATATAGTTTTAGTTTAATCAGCCAAATGCTTATAAGTTATATAAGTTTACAAGCTTAAGTGGCATGTCCTGTGAGCAGATTGACTCCTATATGTTACACACCCAGATGAGAACAGATTGTTTTATAAATATGTTTTTTCCCAGTTTTGCGATAAACGCTGCTGTTTCATTACGCTTATTTCAGCGTCTGTAGTGTACAGCATGTTTTCTGTCACCTCCGTAGCCTCGTCAGTCTGGTCTCTCATGCTGATGAAAGCCTGTAACTCTCGATCCAGTCCCTGACTGATGGGAGTGTTTTCGGCTCTGTCTGCGATGGCCCGCTGATCAGCGGTGCTCCTCTGGCTTTGCTGGTTTTTCCACTGACTCGTTTTTGAAGGTGGTGGTGGTCCAAATATGTTCTTCTCTTCTGTCTCACTGTCACTAGACCCACTGGATAGCTGCTCAAGTGGCCTGGGAGTGCTGTGCATCCTAGAGAGAAAGAAATAAAACTAGGATACTATAAATGTGTACTTTGGTATATTAAAATAAGAAGAGGAATAAAGGGTGACGAGTTGGGATCGTAACAGAGTTTTTCTAACCGCAAAATAGCATTCCTCTCTTCTTGGTTGTGTTTCAGATAGTGGCAGCAGCAGATGGTAAACTTAGCTCCCATTGGCTCTTTCCAAAAGTTTTTTTTTAAAAAATAATGGATATTGATCCTTCACAATAAAATCCCAAAACAGCCTTTAGTCAAAGATTTCTTTAAAAATCCCCAAAAAACCAAAACAAAAAGGCACAAACTCCAAGCACGAGCCGATCCTGTTACATGCTTCCTTCTGTCCGAGGCTGAATTCCTTCCCTCGGTCAATTACATTATCCACGTGAAAAAGAAACAGGGGTAAACAACAACACACACACACAGGATACTCCAGGGATGAATGGCACACTCAGTAAGTCCTGATGCTCCAGATTGCAGTGGCGAAGGCAGCAACACTTCAAAACTCACACTTCTTGAGTTTACTGCTCTGAAACTGGAAGTGTGATTTTTGTTATACTTAAACATGTGTCTCATTACATGAAGCAGAAAGAGGCCTTTTATACCGATGCTTTATTAATATCTGCTCTCACATCCCTCTAATACTCGAGTCTTCTGTTTGAAAGTCCTGTGTGATCGTTCTGGAGCACAGCGCTGCAGTCTGGAAGATTAAAGCTGTCCCTGGGACATTAAAACACAGTCTGGAGTGAGCGTGATCCACATTTAGGAGCAGTTTGTTTCTCACCACAGGAGTCATCACCTGAGACAATGTGATGACTAGTTTATGGATGATTTCAAAAGATTGCATAAGAAGTCAGATGTTACGTTTTCAGATAAATATTTAATGCACTTCTTTACAGTCTTTTTGAAGGAGACCTGTGGCTCAAGACGGATCAGCTGAAGGTCCAGAAGCTTCTCTCAGGTCTTGTGTCAGGCTTATTTTTCCTGTTTGTTGAGGACATGACTTTCAGATGTTCGTGTGTTGAAGATATTTTGGACAGATTAAGATAAAGATACTAAGATATCTGCTATGTGAAGACACAAGACTGGTCCATCCCTTCTTTTAATGCTTCAGTGAGTCATAAGTCAGAGTTAACAAACATCTGGGCAGGTACAAAAAAGAAGGAAATTATAGATTTTTCAAAATGAGAAGTTCCTGTCTTCCACAGTAGATGGCAGCATCACCCCATTTTACTCTTTCTCGCCCATGTGGGCCCCTCTCACTCAGACACGCTGGTTGTGTTTATTTTTATTATGAGCTGTCGATGAAGCTTGAGGATTCGTCATACAGCATCGTTACCTCCTCAGCCATGAAAACCTTGCTATCACATCTGTTTCTCTTCACTTCCACCATCAGGTTTGATTAGTCATCAAGAAGAAAGTGAAAAACATGTTTTGGCTGTGTTTGCTTTTGTGCATAGTTCCTGCACATTATCACAGCGACTAAATTATTTATTTTCTTCATAAATTTCTGGCACATTTACATGAAAATTTACATTTCAAACATCAAAGCGATCTAAGACTCTCTCTTGTGGGTTGCTGCAGTATTTAAAGTGGGCTATAGAAAATAGGACAATAATGGAATTATTTAGAAAACTGCAGACACGATGGAAAACATCTGCACGAGCCAGTGAGCGTGAGGATCTGAGGGGTTTATGTATTTCTTTCTTAAACAGTCCAAACGTTACTCAGTTCACGGCCTCTGGTGTTGGGAAGATCACGCTGCGCCTTGCCTGCTGTGACGTGGATACATACTCTCATTGAACTCCTTGTTTACATGGGATATGATTTCATACAGTGTGCTGTTTGCATGCTGTACTGCACCCACACTTCTAATTAGACTAGTGTGACATGTAAAAGTGATGAATGGTTCTCGCATTTGTCTTCTTCAAGTTGCTGTCTTATCCGGCGCGTTTGAGCAGCTCTCTGAAGACGGATATTTACCATCTGCCGTGGTTGCTGTTGTTATGTTGCTCGTAGTTCTGAACGAGTTTGCATTAAAAAGAAAAGTGTCCTGGGAGGAGCGTTTCAGCCTGGACGCGGATGACTTTGGAGAGGACACAAGTTTACATCTCTACGCATTTACATCTCAGAGGCCGGAGTGTGCAGGAAGAACTCAGACACGTGTGGTTACACGGTTTATGAAATTTGGGCCAGTTTTGCTCTGATCAGAGTGTCTATGTGGAGCATGTGGAGCACTCCTCGTGTAGCTGAACCTTTTCTACCATGCAAACTCATTTTGGCATCGACTCGAAGAAGACTGAAGTGAAAAAAAAAATAAACGATTTGTTTATTGTAAAATTTACTCTCTCACATGTGTGCAGGTTACCGCTGGCAAGTTCAGGTATATGGATTTTCCCTCAAACATCGCCTCCCTCTCCTCTCGCTGTCTGAGATTTATATTTCCAGTGTGCATTCTCTCCTCCTACCTCACTGACTGCTGGACCACCAGCTTTCTTTCTTCCTTTTTTATACACACAGACACACACTGGGCCAATGGCAATGTGACATTGACATAGTGCAGTTGAATACCTTATGTGAGGGTGAGTGATGGACCCTGATGGCTGTTGCCTCAAGGTATGTGTGTCTGAGTGTGCGCACTGTATGTGAGCAGCAGTGGAAATAGCATTATATTCCAACTCGACACAACAGGTCAAACACCAGGGGACGCAGAGAATAATAAGTAGGAGCAATGACATATACACACACTCGTACGCAACCCTTCAGGGAACAAACTCCTCGCTGCTCCATCACTTACATTCATGAAAGAGGCGCTCACACATGACTTGGTGAGGAGAGTAGAGCTTCCTGACACACACACACACACACACACACACACACACCCATGAACAGAAGAACTGGGCAGGGATTCAGAGACACAGATTGAAGGTGATTATAATTCACAGTGAAGTCTGGCTGCTTTAGTTATCTCCAGCTCATCCATCTAATGTGTGTGTGTGTATGCATGTGTGGTTGAGCACTCATCAAGGTAGCAGGGGGAAAAACACCACCAGGAAACATATAAATCACAGAGATGGGGGGAGTGAGACAGTGAGGAAGAAGAAATCAAGACTAACCGAGAAGAACGAGGTGAAAGAAGAAACGGGAACAGAGAGGAGTGCGGGGAGTAAAGGAGACGATGAGAAGGAGAGTGCAAAAATAATAAGCTCTTCACCAAAAGTGATAGTAAGCAGCAGTAACTTACACTCACGAACAAATGTTACAGCTATCACAGCTCATGGAAAGAACCCATGTCTTAGATTACCTACCTGTTTGAAAGTTGCGATGAATCTGAGGTAAGTGCTCACACCAAACCTGCACCACACAGGCTCTTCTTATAAAGAGGAGGTTAATAGATGTGTAGTTACGCACAGTGACTGTCAGGTGGAGCTTTTGTGTAGTTTATTATTTAAGTTTATTAATGTGCCGCCAATGAGCCACAGCATCTAAACCACCTGCCTCTGAAACAGCTTAAACCCGCCGTGCCACAAATCTCCTCTTGGGGTAACGGCGATGCTCGGTGCTCGCTCGGTGCTCGCTTGGTGCTCGCTCGGTGCCTCAGGTGCTCGGTGCCGATTCTCTGCAGCTTGTCCTGCTAATGAAATGGTCTCTTCTATGGGGGCGTGCCGTGGCTATAGAGGTGTTAAAGATCTGCAGCAAAGTTTAGCATCTTCTTTTCAGTCTATTTCCTGTCGCTTTTCATCTTCTTCCTAACACACGTGTACCACACACATTCACATGATGAATACAAGTGCGTGTAAAAGGGCTCCACTCAGTGGGGACCGACGGGGCATCTTTGCCGCACATTTTTACTGCTAATCGATGGAGATGACACCTTTTTTTTTTACACACCGTCACTGCTGATCAATGAGAATTATGCCATGCTTTGTAGCTGTCACCGGTAATCAATGAGGGTGGTGCCATCATCTGCATCTTCTGATCATTACAGCCGGTGATCAATAATAAAACTGGCTCAGGATGACACGCGATTATCATAGACCAGCAGTCCATGATGATAGGTTGATAATGTGTATGTGTGCGAGAGAGAGCTGTGCCACAGACTGACAGCCACAGACGGAAAAACACAGACGAAGGAGAAGCTGACACGGAGATCAGGAAGTGGTCATATTTCAAACCATCGTTCTGGCACGGCTAATAAAACAGTGCAGCAGACACAACACCGCCACTCTTCCTTCCTTTTCTAAATGAGATGTTCATGACTGTCAGAAGGTGAAGTTATTTACTGCTGTGCTCTGGTAGGAATAATCAGAATCAGGTGTGAGGACACTTGGAGGATCTTATCTATTTAAATCTACCTGAATTTATGTTTTTGTACAGACAGTCTGTTTGCATGCACAAATACGACCTGTAGGTACTCAGCCTCTGATGTTCTTCTTCTCAGGATGTCAAATGTGGCTGTTTTGGCGTGTCAGGGGTGTTGTTCATCACATATGTGGTTCAGGAACTGTTGTTCTCACATTTGAACACGCTGGGAAGCACTAAGGACAACGTTTGAGTCTGGGACAATGCTGTGGAAGTAAAGCAGAAAAGCTTTCACTCGGAGTCGTCTTTCTCACTTCATAAATGTAGAGAGCTCTTGATGTAATTGTGGTAAACATTCAAACTCATATAAAAATCAGGTACCTTGAGCAGACTTTATTTTTTCTGTCTATGGATTCATGCCACTGCGTCTCCCATGACTTGGAAGTGATAACATTTCCTTTGCAGCTACATGGTATTATTTTAGAGGAAGACATGCAGTGGGTGTGGTGCTGGTTAAACATGAAATATGTGCAGCCTACTTGCTTCTTACAGCTGTTATTTTAACCTTTCTAACTGACAGCTATTTTTCATCCGTGAACAATTACGTCTTCTTGAGCCTCGAAACAAAGAAAGACTTATTGCCTCAACTTCCTGCTTGTTACACCCACTCTCACAGTTGACCCTGCCGTCTCCACATGAGATAACTATGAAAATAACTCACTTTAGTGTTCATGCACCAGCAGATAAAGCAACAAAGAGACTAGAAAACAAGAGTCGGGAAGCAGGCTGATAGAGAGGGAATGAGGGACGTCGCGGTGGAATAGAAAGAGGCAGACAGACAAACAGAGACCGCACAGCAATCATGCCAGTCACAGACCATCACCGAGAGGTGACTAGGCCATCTGCGTCTCTGCCTGACTGTAAAGTAACTCGCCTTCAAAACAGGAAATAGCCAATATCACACTAATACCCTGAGGGGAACACACAGAAAGCTGTGTGAGGCATTTCCATTCAGACTTGATTTTGTGCTCGCCTGAACAACCAGGATGTTTCCACACGAGGATGCTTGAAAGGTGGCGTGATGCGATGTTTGTGTGCGATCGGTTGATTGCTGTGTCTTTAAATAATTAGTGCAGGTGGTTCTTAATGTAACCCGGACACACTCTGTGCCATTTTGGCCACATTCATGAAGCAAAGCGATGCCTTTATTCCCACGATGGTGATATATGATGCCACTGCAGCTCATAACAAACGTGTGTTTGAGAATGTGCTGCTCTGCATCTTTGTCCGACTCATGCATGAATGTAAACGTCATGACTTGACAGCTGACCGACCATGAATAATTATAGCTGTAGAGATCACACCGGAGGTGACTGACAAGATGTGCACCCACACACACGCAAACACACACTGAGTCAAAGTAGAAGACAGATCATGACAGTATGTTGATGAGCAGATCTGCACCCACTCATAATTCACTGCTGCTATGCTTTCCTTGAGCTCTAGGTGGCACTGTTGAATTGCACAGATACACTGATGTGGGGTAGCATGTTGTGAATATAGTTTGAGGCATATGTGGAAATCTTTAGTTCAAGTTCACTCCTTGCACCTAAAGGAAACGATTAATAGAAACAGAGAAGAAAGTGTTAAATGATCCTGTTATATTAAAGCAAGACTCGCGCATACATTAACTTTCAGAGTTTGCACAGATGAACTGACCTTCTGTTTAAGGTCTAAATTAATCCAAGAGTGACCTCAGTACAGCCAACGTAACATAAAGCGAGCTCGCAGCTTTCTGGCTGAAACTCTGCGTTTCTGCAGATTTAGATGCGTGCAGAAGATGTTGCCCAAATAATGAAAGCTGAATATCAAAGGTCTTTTCTTAGTCTGACTCTTTCTCACCCACTCTTTGCAACTGTTTGCACACACGTGCGTAGGCGTGTGTGGGCGGCAGTGCACGCAAATGAGCATGACACGATGAACTTGAGCTAGCGAGCTTTATTTTCTGTTTTGTTTTGGTTTTTGTTTCCAGCAGTTTCATTCAAAGACAGCTTCTTCTCACTTTTTAATGTAAAACGGGGTCGAAAGTCAGTCCCTTTATGTGTCTTATGTTTTTCTGTCATTTGGTGGTCTTCAGTGTCAACATGTGTGACTCACTAGTAAACAAACACAGCTTAGAAGTGATAGCCTGCATGCTGCCGGCCTCTTCCCCAGGAGAATGTGTCCTTTAGCCTATAATACCCCACCTTCTGTCTGGGTGTCATCATTTCTTATGCTGCTAAGCTGTTATGTGCCAGACTTTTGACAAGTAATAACTTTAGTGTCTGCTCAAGAAACACAACGTGGAATCTGAGTACTTCCCATCCCTGCCTCAGATCTCACATACACAGTTAACTTTTATCATGTTGCCTCTCTACATCATGGATGTTAGCACATCCAATCGAGATGTGACTAAAGTGTCAACTTTTAACTTTAATTCATGGCATATAAATAAGAATTGCACCGTGTAGTTGTTATAGACATGGTCCCCCATGTTCACAGGCTCAAAAAGACCATTGACTGTGAAGCGTTGCAGTCCTGGGTCTGTTCTCCAGTGATAAAACAGTGTGTATGTGTTTTAGCAAACCAGGTCACTTTGTTGTAGAGCCTTACGTTTAATATCTGGAGAAAAACTGCATTTTGTCCTGTCATAATTTTTATTGACTTCAAACTCTTAAATTGAATCCTGTAAGCCTGAAATATATACAATCTCTTTATATATGTCATAACACCACCTCCACTATGTTTAGCAGTTGATGTCAATGTCAGTTTTATTTCTGTAGCACATTTTAAGCAACACATGTGTTAAAAAAAACAACATTAAACCACAGATCAATAATTTAATTCGATAAAAGGACCGGCTGTTACAATGTTACAATCCCTGA